GAGGTTGCAGTGAGCTGAGATCGCACCACTGCACTCCAGCCTGGCAACAGAGGGAGACTCATTCTTATTTTAAAAAAAAAAAAAAAAAAGAAGAAGAAGAAGAAATGACGTTGCCTCTGAGGTAAAGCACAAAAATGTTTAGTCTGGGTGAAATATTTTTCACAGAAATATCTTATAGAACTATTTCACTGTTAAAGTACGTGCATTTATGTCTTGGATACCATCAGTATGGTACATTTATGTTACGTGTTTTTACCACAATTTTTTTTTTTTTTTTTTTGAGACGGAGTCACCCTCTGTCACTCAGGCTGGAGTGCAGTGGCAGGATCTCTACTCCCAGCAAGCTCCGCCTCCCGGGCTCACATCGTTCTCCTGCCTCCGCCTCCCAAGTAGCTGGGACTACAGGCCCTGCTCGCCACCACGCCTGGCTAATTTTTTTTGTATTTTCAGTAGCGATGGGGTTTCACCGTGTTAGCCAGGATAGTCTCGATCTCCTGACCTCATGATCCACCCACCTCGGCCTCCCAAAGTGCTGGGATTACAAGTATGAGTCACCGTGCCAGGCCTTGTTTTATTTATTTTTTAAGTTTAAAAAAAAATTGATGAACAGTATCCTCAATTGCAAACCAGGGATGGCACTGCCGTCACTTTAACGATGCCATTAAATTAGCTGTCACTTTTTAATGACCCAGTTTTGAAGATTCTACAGTGAAACTGGAACCCTTTTTGAAGGCAATGTGGCAGTGTCTATCAAGAATCACATCAATGTTCATAACCCTAGACTATGCCAAAGATATACGCATGGTAAATAAGCACATGAAAAGGTATTTGATGGCCGGGCGTGGCGGCTCATGCCCATAATCCCAGCACTTTGGGAGGCCGAGGCAGGTGGATCACTTGACCTCAGGAGTTCAAGACCAGCCTGGGCAACATGGCGAAACTCCATCTCTACAAAACATAAAAATTAGCCGGGCATGGTGGTGTGCCTGTAGTTCCAGCTACTGGGGAGGCTGAGGTTGGGGGCTCGCTTAAGCCCGGAAAGTCGAGGCTGCAGTGAAGCCAAGATCACACCACTGCACTGGGCAACAGAGGCCCTGTCTCAAAAAATAAAATTAAAATTAAAAATGGCAATTAAAACTACAGTGAAGGCCAGGTGTCGTGGCACGCACCTGTAATCCCAGCTACTAGGCAGGCTGAGGCAGGAGAATCGTTTGAATCCAGGAGACTGAGGTTGCAGTGAGCAGAGATCTCGCCACTGCACTCTAGCCTGGGTGACAGTAAGAATCTGTCTCAAAAAAAAAAAAAAAGTTGAACTCATAGAAACCCAGAGAATGGTACCCGCTGAGGGAAAGGATCTGATGTTTCAGTTAGACAGGATGAATAAAGTCTGGATATCTGCTGTATGGCATGGTGAACTATAGTTAATAATGTACACTTAAAAATTACTAAGCGAGTAGATCTTAAATGTTCTCACCACACACAAAAAAGTATAAGGTGGTAGACATGTTAATTAGCTTGATTTAATCACTTCATACCATACACATACTCATCACATTGTATACCATAAACATAGACAATTTTCATCTTGATAAAGCTGGGAGATTAAACAACAACAACACAAAAAACAGAGCCAGAAGCAGGACCCAGCCTCTCAACAGATTTCCTGACCACTACACCATACTGCCTCTCAGTGTCATTTAACATCATGACCCCCAGGGATTTTTAACCTTCTTGTAATCCAAGACTTCAAAACACCCCCACATCAAGATAATAGTTTCCTTTTACACTTACTCTGTCTTTGTCATGTAGCATATCTGCATAGGAGGACCTAAAAAACAAAAAAGACAGGTCAGCAACCTTTGCATGATACACATCAACACACAAGAGTATTCACATATATAAACACATTCCTAAACAGATAGAACAAACGTGTCATCTATTTTAAACTATTTTTTGTTGTCTTTTTTTTTGGGGGGGGGAGGGGAAAGGGTCTCACCCTATCACCCAGGCTGGAGTGCAGTGGCGCAATCTCGGCTCACTGCAACCTGCCTCCCAAATTCAAGTGATTCTCATGCCTCAGCCTCCCAGGGAGCTGGGATTACAGGCACTCACTACCATGCCTGGCTAATTTTTGTATTTTTATTAGAGATGGGGTTTCACCATGTTGGCCAGGCTGGTCTTGAACTCCTGACCTCAGGTGATCTGCCAGCCTCGGCCTCCTCAAGTGCTGGGATTACAGGTGTGAGCCACCGCACCTGGCCTATTTTTTTGTTTATTTTTAAAAACAGGATCTTGCTATGTCACCCACGCTGGAGTGTAATGGCTATGAACAGTCTCAATCATTGGGCACTGCAGTCTTGAACTCCTTAGCTCAAGAGATCCTCTTGCCTCAGCAGAACTACAAGCATCCGTCACTGTACCTGGCCACTTTATTTTAATAGAGTTTTAAGTTGTTGTTCTCTAGTGCTGCAGAAAAAAGTCTCAGAGAAAGATGTTCTCAGACCTAAAAATGCTCCAGTAGTTAGCTGTTGGGAACAGGCCCCAAAACTGGCCATTAACAAAATCTCTGCAGCACTGTGACATGCTCTTGATGGCTACGATACCCACACTGAAGGTTGTGGGTTTACCGGAATGAGGACAAGGGACACCTGGCCCACCCAGGGCGGTTTTCGCTTAAGGTGTTCCTCAACTGCAAACAATAGCATGAGCGGTCTGTGCCTCAAGGACATGTGCCTGCTGCAGATAACTAGCCAGACCCATCCCTTTGTTCCCCTGTTTTAATCTATAATCTATAGGAACAATGCTTATCACTGGCTTGCTGTCAATAAATGAGTAGGTAAAACTCTGTTTGTGGCTCTCCGCTCTGAAGGCTGTCAGCCCCGATTCCCACTCCACACCCTATATTTGTGTGTGTGTCTTTAATTCCTCTAGCACCGCTGGGTTAGGGTCTCCACTACTGAGCTGGTCTCAGCAGTTAGCCCTGTCACAGTAATTCCACAGCCACTAGCGTCCTGATCTTGTTATATGCTATACATTTTCCTCCTCAGGAAAAACTCAGACTCAATCTTCCTAATACTTGACCTAACCTTGCGTACATCTGTGCCTGGGGATAACCATTGATGTAATATTAGGGAGAGCAGCTGGGGAAGAGAAGTACTCACATACACCCACTGTATATGTGACAGGTACCCCACTGGGTATGTTCACTTAACATCATCAGGGAAAACTAAGAGTTCACCAATACCGTTCTAAGGGGAGGAGAGTCACTTCTCCATATTTCCTATTGCAGTAATTCACACATTGAAACTCATGTGGGGTCAGGATGAGCACCCAAAACTAGGCAGGCCCTCCCACGCTTTCTGGGAATTCTAGGGGACAGCTAAGGAGCTCACACTAAAACAGAAGCCCTCCCGCCTTGGGTCAACACCAGAATCACCAGAAAGCTTACTTGAAATGCAGAGTCCCACATACACACACACACTCTCTCTCTCATTGAGAAGGCTGGGCTAACGCGCTCCAGGCAATTGTGTCACAGGCGGTCCACGTTCCACACTTTGAGGAGCGGTGCACCGAAAAGAGGGGGATTTTTTTTTTAAATGACATGTCAAGGTTTTATATCTGAAGTCAGCTATGGATGCTTAACTGAAATGTAGTCATTTCTACCACTGCTCACTATTTAAAAGGCATCTCACTCACCACCTTCCTGGTCTCTTCACACACTTGCTGCCCATCATTCCACTGACATCACTCTCGGTAACCGCCACCAGCTCACTCCTGCAGCTGATGTCAGTCATCAGGATCTGGGACTTCCCAGTGCCTCTCACCCCACACTCCCTCTTTCTTCCTTTCCACGCTGGCCATCTCCCTCGCCCTTCTCCTTTTGCCTCCTCAGCTATTCCGGGATTCCTTCTTCAACCCTCTACCTTTCGCATTTCACACCCCCTTGAGAGACAGCAACCTCCCCCAGTTTCAATTCTAACAACTAGAAATTCTGTCTCTAGATCCAAAATTCTACCTGCCACTGGCATCTCTATGTGCCTCCCCAGTTCAAGTGATTCTCCTGCCTCAGC